ACCCCAGGTCATCAGTGTTACTAAAATAGCCACTTAAATTAGCAGCACTACATAGCAGGTTTTCCACAGTTACACAAAGTCATATAAATCTAAGAGTATTATACAAAATAGAATTTGAAATAGGTATAGGAGAAAGAAAATAGCTGTAGCTAATCCAGTCTGTTCCCCGTTAAAAAATATTTGGATAAATCAATTACAGGGCGAAAAGTAACTGTACATCATACTATTAATTTGTAATGAATAATATATATATATATATACACACACATAATAAAAACTAGGATGTATAAACAGAACAACATATAACAGGAGAAGTTAAAGACAGCAAGCAAATACCAAGTATGTACACTCCACATATTAATTATTATAATTTGTGAGTACATAGAGGACAAATAAGGCAATATGCTGAAAGTAAAACCAAAATGCGAGAAACCACCACCAGAAAATTTTTTATTAAAAATAAAAATACATTTTTACATATTCATCCCTTAAATGTTTTTTAAATGATTGACGAAAATGTGATTTTGAAATTTCTTCCCTGATTTCGATTGGAATGTCATTCCAGACTTTGGGGCCTGTATATGCTATAGCAATTTGTCCTAAATGTTGTGTTTGCATGAATCGATATTCTGTATCATATTCATGGTTAACAAATGTAAAATAATCTGACATGCTATGAGCTGAATAATGGTGAATTGAACCATGTATTAAAGTAGCAATTGAGAGACGATGTAATTTGTAAATATCAATGATATTAAGTTGATAGAATAAAGGTGATAAGTGTGTGGTAAATGGCGTAGAGAGTATAATGCGGGCAATCATTTTCTGGGCCTTTAAAATACTAGTACAATTTAGATGAGAAACGTAGGTATTGCCTCGAGGCCATAGGTAATGTGGGGGAATGAATAAATTATAAAGCAAAATTAAGGTGTCTAGGGTACAATATGTCCAAGTTTGTATAAAATGCCATACTTTTTTTCTAATAGATGTAATATTTTTTTTCAATGTGCCTGGTCCATGTGAGGTGTTTATCTAACACAACACCGACAAAAGGGACCTCGTCTACCTCATCAATACAGTCACCCCTTATTGAGACACACCCAGTCTTCCTCATGTTCGTCCGTTTGCCCCTAAAACTTATAAAATATGTCTTATTTCTATTTATAGTTAGTCTGTTTGTATCACACCATAAAACAATGTCACTTAGATGGGAGGCCGCTTCTGAAAGATTAATATTGTTATTGATGCTCTCACCAGGGTGTGCTGGACTTTTCAGGTCAGAACCTCAGAGGCTCAGAGTCTCAGAGGTTGAGTATCAAAGGATAATATATAATATTAATATTATTGAATAACATTTTTTTAATTTTTAAATATTTAAGACATCATAATCCAGGTCTTAATGACTTGAAAAATAAAAGTGAGAAACAATAAAATGTGGGTAAAATGTATTTTTGTATATGGACGGTCGTAGCGGGCGTAACGTAACCTAACGTAAAGTAGTTCTTGCATTGTGCAGCGATTTTGTGTATTGTTACATTTTAGTTGGATGTCATTTCATGTGTGATTTTTAAAAGGCTGACATCTCTCGCCACTGCATCGTGACACTTTTGATTCTTCGAAACGACGACCGATACTCACAATTACTTCCCGGTAAATCAATGCACGCGTTGTGCGTTTATATGCTGTTTGAGCAGAAGACGTTCCCATAGGACCCACACACAAGTTAATTCGAGCGAGGTACAAGCTTGCTCGTCAATATTTATTTGCCACATGCTTTTGCCATATTGTCAACTAAGATTTCAATATTTTTCTGCATTTATTCAGTACTATAAATATAATTATGCATTTGGAAAGTATATATTATATACACAGTCCAGTCCAATTTTGTACAATACATTGATGGCAGGAAAAAATAACCAAACAAATCACTGTAAGACTAGTATTTATGCAATGACCAAATTTATGTAAAGGTGTTCACTAAATGAACTAGTGTATGTAATTTATAGGACGCCTTAAATGTCAAACTTGTATATTGTCGAGTGAGCTGCATTTTTTTTTATTTGTATGCAAATGAGTTTAGTTTTGTTACATTTAGCAGCCACAATAATCTGTGTTAAAAAGGCCATTACATATCCCTACTAAGTTTGGTCCAAACATATGCAAATATCTAATTTATGAAATTAGCATATTTGGTCCATAACCTAATCAGATCTGAGGAGTATCCAAAAGCACACTTGTAGTACCAAATTGCCTTAAAATATTCTTGAGATTTTCATGATACACAGACAACGAAACTTTAAAGCTCCTAATTACCCCACCCCCTGCATATATAATTATCAATCCCATTCATATTGAGCATTTTATCAAGAATGACCTGTGAGATTCAACCTTTGAGGCTTTTTGCATTGTGTTAAATACACATTGTAATTTAATTTGTTGAATTTCAGAGACTGGATCTATTACGGTTTTCTCAATATATAGAATGTGATAATTAGAGATGATCTACTCATCCGAAGACACACCTACAAAACATGATTTAAAATACCCCATAGAAAATGCTCAACATACTATAACATTTAATCATCAAAATTGTGTTATCGTCGTTGATCACGCCCTCTCGCGGGAGCAACATACTCATCCGTTCTACGTAAATATGTTTTTTCAAGCGAGTAGAAAAACAACACACTATAGTTAGCGAGAATGGATTGTATTTCTATATTTCAAACTATTTTCAAATAATCATGGTTTATACACATATAAAACAAGGGGCTTTCACAATACCAGCACATGCCTCTGAGCCTCTGAAGCTCTAACCTCTGAAAAGTCAACTACACCGTGATTAGGTGTTGGTATTTAAGGGATTTTTCCACACAAAAATGCCGAATTCGACCGAATTTTGTTATCGATTGGCTTAATATAAGCCCAACGGATCGTATTTTTGTGAAAGATTGGTATTTTTGTACTGATTTGTGGGAATCTGAAAAATGCGTTTCACAACTTGTCTCTTATTTAGTTTTATGCCGCATTCAAGATGGCGGCCCCCATATAGTAAATATTGCAATGATTTTATTATTCACGTATGCGCCAGCTGACTGTGGTTGCCCGTAGTCGAACTTAGGGACGACGTCAAAAGATCGATGTCGGATAAAAAACTTAATTCCTTTAATTTTTTTTCAAACCCCCTCACGCCCACTGAAACGTAATTGATAAATATTGACCATGGCGTCAGACTACATTCACCATTAAATACAAATTGATAATCGGACAGTAGTATTGCATAGCAGTTGGTTGTCGGGTGGGTATAACAAGACTTTACAAATGCACTTCATTTGACGCACATATTTACACTCGAATCAAACCATTTTCCTTTCTTGGATGTTTTTTTTATTTTTTTTTTTTTCGGTTAATTCTGTCCATGAGTGGATAGAAAAAAAACGAACTACAAATACTCCAAGATTCTTTTGACTTCATTAAAAATTAAAATCGTTTTTGTAGGATGGAAACTTTTTGAGGTCAAAATCCCCCACCCCAAACTAAAGCAACTAAAACGTTCAGATTTCAAAATCAACACACGTGAAATCAATAGGAAGGAACCTCCGTTGTTAGAGCGCCCGCACACAACCAATATTGGTTGACTGTACCAATTGGAGTAAACAAATAACAAGCAGCCGGCAATTCACCTCGAACGACCTCGCTCAAAGATGGCGTCGATTTTGGGTACTTGTCTGAGGAGATTTTCTCCAAATGCAACCCTAAGATTGGTCCAATCGCCGGTTTTAGGACGTTCTCCTGCCATCTGCAGTGTACGAGGGTAGGTGCATCGACTACAGTCGGTATTTTCCGCTTACAGCATGTAATTGCTTTTTCACAATGTTTACGTGCTCCAGCTTCAGAATTTGTCTTGAATTCGCTCATGACTGGTCCCAGGGCTTGTAAAGAAGTTGTAATTACTCCGTTGCGGTTGCAAATTATGACGCTGTTCCATTGTTTTATTTCCATTTTCTTAAGCACGTTGCAGATGGTTCTTCGTGGACGGGTAATTTCGTTGGCTTCTCTGTGGTGGACCACCTTCTCATCCGCCTAGATCTGTGTGGTTGGTTGGTGACCCATATGCGAGCTTTGTCCAGGCGTCACTGGGTTACGACCGCAGACAATTTTCATAACAGATACATTTGTAGACAATGTATAACTAAATGCAGTGAAAATAGATTCAGACACAGTGGGGACAAATATGATATATAGACGTGTTGATTCAAAATGATTTAGGGTCGAATTGCATGTGATTTAACATTACATGTAGTTATAATTGGACTTTTGATGCAAATGCGTATTTTACTTTCTAACAAATGTAGGTAAAGTCATAAAGTTAGTAATTTTCCAAGTATATTTCAATGTTTTAAAAGAAATTGGTAGGGAGATATTTACAACGAACCGCATAATTGCATGAAATTAGTTTGAAACTGTCGGTCAATTTGATTGATTGATTGTGTGTTTGTCCTGCCAGACACCTGGTGCCGTCGATTGCTTGTTGGCCAGTATAACTGTAACAACAAACTGGCTACATTTTAAAAACAATCAGCGACGAAAATGCAGAGGTTAATGAGACAAACCATTTGTACCGAACAAACCCGGAATGTGACACGTTCGTATAAATTTTCATACAATTTTCAAAATATACCGATAACTAAATCCTGTAATAAGCTAGAGCTGCCTGGTACTCCGGTCTGGCAACACAGTCCGGAACCCATTTGAGTTCAGGAAGTGGAAGTTTCTCTGAACACGCGTTAAGCGTGTACAGTGAGTCATCATTGTTGTGAAAAGCATTTGTGTATGTGAAATAGTCTGGAGAATTTTGTTTTAACAAAGTAAAAAGGTGTTTAGAGCGACCACCGTTGTCTTAATCAGCTTTGAAAATTTCCCATATTCTATATACTCTGCCGTTGAGGAAATTACACCAGCTGACACTAGATCATTCTTCAGTGCAACAGGATATCTGTTTGTTTAGCTCAGAAACTGTACAAAACGACCCTTTTCAGGGCCACCACATCCTCCAGGAAGAGATATACCGTGTTTTAACGAGTGTAACAGTTTGATTTAGCTGTGGGTTCGTTGGTCTTTTTGTGTCAGTGTTTAGTCTTTGTGTCGGTGTTTAGTCTTTGTGGTGGTGTTTTAGTTGGTGTCATCATTTGTTATTTTCAGACATTAGGATTTGTATCGACACAGAAGAGCTATGTCCTCTATAAACCTAACACAAATGTGAGAACCCTATCTCCTCCACTTGGTGGTGCTGCTGAATTGCAGTGCTTCCTCTTGCAGTTTTTTTTAGAAAAATGTGTATGCCAATGTGTATTATTTAATTGTAAACAGTTGAAATATTCATGCATGTGTGTTGTTGTGGTCTCAGTAATGCTAAATTGTGTTATCTAATCGGTTTCAAACTTAGACATAGAAATTTGAAATAACAAATTAATTCCAAGGGTTGAATTTCTTGAGAGCATCAATCTCAAATGTTGCCCAAAAAGTTTGTCTTGATGGTCTTCAATATGTATTATTAAAATGAACGGTACTGGTAAGAGTTCCTTAGAGCCCCTCACCCATAACTCTGATCTTAACCCTTCTCCTCCAGTACCCCTTCTCTTATTCAATTGTATATATCGTATTTATCCATAATTGCATAGGGTCCTGAACATGGGGGAATTGCAAAAAAATAAAGGTGGGCGTATGCCAGGACATCCCCTGCAAAAAAACAAATTTGCGAAAATTTACAACATGCAGATCGAACTGAGATGGGGGATAAAATGAATAAAAACATACAACAGAAATAAATGAATAATATGCGACATTAGAAGTATAACAAAAATAATTTATTGCTTATAATGTGGCAAATACACTTGCCATACCTAGAACTCATCTCAAGAATTATGGTGACCGGTCATTCGCCCATTCCTCACCATCTTTATGGACTCGATTACCGAATGACATCTGTTCTGCACCAAATGTTAACATCTTCAAAACCAAACTCAAATCTTACCTTTTTCAGCAAGCCTATCTGTGAAACTAAGCGTCGTTGAGCATCACTGCGATGGATACTAGGTGCTATACAAACTTGTATTTATTATTATTATTATAAATAAACCAGAAATAAAATAAAATTGACAGTGAGGAATCATTTGAATTAAAATTATTTCTGGTTTTGACAATTACAGGTTCAACAGCCATACAAAATCAATAACAATTTACGCAGTAAAATTCCGAAATTTCATAGTTCTCTATTTGTACGTCCAATGACATCTTTGTAAAAGTCAAAACCGTCAAGGTTCAAGTCGGCGTCACTGTCGCAATCAAACAAAATCCCTACAGCCTAGTCCTGAAGTTCGCCGATGTTCTCCCACACAATTTGGACTTAGCACATTTAATCTATGAGTTTCGCTGTCTGTCAGCTTAATAACACTTTTAATTCATGTCTAATTAGAATAAAGAGACAAGAAAATGGGGTCGTGGCAAACGACTCTGCTACAACAATGGCACATGATGCTTTTGTTTACCGTCTGGCAATCATCTTTGACCCTTTAAGGGGTTAGCATACGTTTAATGTGGGTTTTTTTCAATATTTTTTTTTATTTTAAATTATTGATGATTATGACAGTATCTATGACTGCTTTTATGCTGAACAAAAACTCCACTTTATTTTATACTTTATTTCGACGTTTTTTCTATTTCAAAACATTGCCACGTGTGATTGTTTCTAAACACAACAAACACAAGCACAACATTTGCATGAAAGTAATCCTAATTTACACTTGATGAAAGATTCGATTTGCATATCAATACTACAAAGTTTATGTAATTACGGTACTCATTTCGCCCAGCCGCTTTCACACCAACAGCTTATTGCTTAATTTCTGACCGGAAACCGACCACATTTCAATCGCTCGCTCGCTCATTGAAAACACTGACTGCTTGCCCAAACACTGGTCACACATCAGTAGTCGAAATGGTGGTTTTTCAAATCTAATAGTTGCATGACACTTGTATCGTCAAAGCAACTCAACTGGGACTTCTTGTTACATGTTTTGGGTGCTTGTTCTAAATGTAATATTTTATTTTAATGAGACAGTTACGTGAAAAAAGCATAGGTAACTTCTTCCGACAGAGCAGAGAAACGAGGAAAATGTTAATGATTAATAACAAAAATAACGATACCAAAACTACGTCTGTCCAAAGGCGGTCGGTCGGGCTAGTAAAATTTGACATCCAATTTTCAAAATTAAGTCACGATCAGTGAATGAGCTCGATCTATATGTACCGTCTAGGTGTTCCCACAAAAAATATTTTGACTAAAACGGCCACATGCTCTGAAAAAATAGAACAGAGCTTGACATACATGAATAATTCAGAAAAAAAACGTGTCAAATTTAGTTATAGCCATAAATATTTGGTGGCCAGACGATGAACAATTCAAAAATCAGGATTCACGCGGAAGTCCTTCAGGGCTGAAAATCATCGACCCTACTCTGGTTTACCTTATTTCACAACTACTAGTAGCAAAGAAAGCTGATTCGCCGTGGACTCAGCTTAATTTTTTCTTTCTGAACTGAGGTCAAACCCCCTCTGTTAGTCAAAATATCCCGATGTTTTTCAGTGAATAATTTTGAAGCCTGTCACAGAACAAAAAAAAAATGTGACTTGAAGCCGGAGATTGGTAGGTACGACGACCCTTCAATTAGCGTCAAATATGTTTTGTTACAACATCATTGATTTGCTGAAAGTCACCTGATCGGGGCAAGACCTGGGTCACAGAACCATATTTGTCTGTATTAGCAACATGATTTTGCGAGAGAACCACACCTACATTTTCAACCATTTTCAGCACGAAGTTGCCAATAAATGTCGAAAATCTCGTGCATTTGATGTATTCGGATAAAATAAAGCTAGCGATTGCTAAAAATGTTTATTAAAATATTCCCCGATGCTCTTGGAATTTTTGTTTTTTTTGATTTCAAGGTAAGAAATAGCTAGTTGAAGTTGCCTAGACTTCAAGGTTGCTGTTTTACCGCGAACAACTCTAGCTCTGTTGTAGTTTTGTGATGTAAAATTAAATATATACAATAAAATTACTTGTTTAATTATTTGGGTTTTCAGTCCACAAATTACAGGACATGATCCCCAATGTTTGTCCTGTCTCGGCTGATTGTGTTAAATGTCGGCAAAATAGGTGTACTTTCAACTGAAGTAATTTACAATAACAACTTGTTGTTCTACCGGTAGTGCTAAACAATGGCAACCAGATCCAGAATATATGGAGCAGTATGCTAAAGCAGTGATGTATCCAGATGAGCAGACATCTAAGTGGTTGGCACCACCGTGGGATGATAATGATCCACCAGCAGAGAAAGATGTATCTAACTTGCAAATTAATTTTGGACCACAGCATCCTGCTGCTCATGGTGTGCTACGTTTAGTGATGGAACTCAGTGGTGAGGTATGTCTAGCTTGAATAAACGATAGGCGCAAAATTAAAAGAACAAAATTTCTGGTTGGACAATCAGTTTGAAAAACTGGTTCTACAGCTATTTTTAAATTGGGCCATTCCAGTTTATATCTGCACCCCCCCCCCCCCCTGTTGATGAGTGTGTGTGTGTATACTTCATACAGGGTATAATTTCTATGGCGTATAAGTCATACAAAGTTTTATTTCCAAATCACCATTCACCATACAGTAAAGGAAATCCAAAACTATAGTTCCTACTTATGGTGTTGATGAGTTGCTTTGTGCCACCATACAGAGCAGGATTACCAAATATATAACTCTGGTCATATGATGCCAATTTTCCAAGTTCAAACTCCAGCTGCGGTAAAGGGGAGGGACATGCAACTCACAGAATTAGCATTAGCAACAAGTGGCCTGTCGGCTGAGATAGCTCTGCTGTTAGCAATACACATTTCAATTAAAGAACTGAAAATATCATTAGAAAATGAACAGTATGTATAGTATCAAAGCAATCGGACTTGCTGTTTTCAACAAGAAGTCGAAAATATCATTTTTACCAAAAATTACAAAAATATTCACCAAAATTAGAGAATTAAATGTATCATTACAAAATAAAAAATCTGAGAGAAGTCCACATGTAGTACCTATATATGTAATATTAAAGCAATTGGACTTGCAGTTTTTAACAAGAAGTCGAAAATATCACTTTTTACCAAAAATATTCACCAAAATTAGAGAATTAAAGATATCATCACGAAATGAATAATCTTAGAGAGGTCTACCCAAGGTACATATACACCAAGTATCAAAGCATTCATGCTTGTAGTTTTCAAGAAGACACGAACAACGCCGAACGGACAATCACTCATATGATAAGCTCCACTCAACAAAGTCGACAGCGGAGCTAAAAACAATGCTCACTTCACCCACAAATTAAAATGTGTGTGCACTGGGGACTATCAGATTGTCTGTAAGTTAGGCAATCTTGACAAGGCCAGGGGTACATCACCAGTGGTGGATCTAGGGGGGTTCTTGGGGTCTGGACCTTCCCATTGAAAAATTTATTCAATTTATTTTTGTATAATATAAAAAAAATCATTAACTTAGTCTGGCGATTTTAAATCCTGTATCCGCCTATGATCACATAACGTCACACAAATACAAAATACAGGGTTGCCATGCAAAATATTCCATAAATTTCTGATTGTTGAACCTAATAAACAATGACTGCTGAAACATTTGTAATCACGCTGTCCTCTTGTTTAAAAATAATCCTCGCAGCAAGTCGAAATTAAACATCAGTTTCACTTAATGACTCAAACTTTAATTTCAATATGACTGAGAGTCAAACATATATTAGTCGTAATATTTTGGCACATTATATTTTGTTGAAAAAGTGTTTTTCTTTTTTGTTTGAAAGGATGTTTTATCATTCAAAACAACCTTTAATGCATGTATTCAAAAGAAATATTTAATAAATTCTTTGATATTCACAGCTAAGATACTTGGGGTGGTCTCTGTTAGATTTGTGTCAAAATACAGATATTTAGTGAATATTTTTGGGAACAAATGTTATTTTTGACATCTAGTCCAAACCCGCAAGTTCAATTGCTTTCAGAAATTGGAAAGGAAATCAAACGGGCGGTTTACCACGTTCATCTACAGGAGTCGGGAGAGCTGCTGACTGCTTATAATTAAGGGTCTTCACCGTGGCCACTACTCTCAAGTTTCAAATAAACGTACCGGTACGTTCTTATTTGGGGCGGTATGTTTATTTATTATTTTAAATTAAAAAAACTTAAAAAGTTTTAAATAAAAAATCGTGCTGTTTCCCCATCGAAATCAAAGCCAAAAGATCGTACTACATCAGTAAATCTCTACCGTGTTGCGTTCACCATGAAGTCGCTGAACTGTCATTAACATATTTAAATGAGCTATGGTAATTTGAACACATTGGTACCATCCATTCAGGTCACTTGTGTGCATTGAATAACATTGTGAAAATTGCAATTACTACTGAGTAATAATCAACATTTGTAGCACTTCGAAAACAAGTAAGGTATTCATTTGTGAAATGCATGACTGGATTGCGTACTGTGATTATTTGCTACTAAGCAATGCATTCATGTTTTTTTTTATTCAAAACTTTTTTTTAGAATATACTTTACCAACAAAATTAAAAAAATTAATGTATATTATATTAAATATACTAAGTATTTTTTGTTATTATGTGAAAAGTTTTTTTGATTGACTGTAATTTTTCAAAATTTTATGATGCCTATTGTAAAACCAAATTAAGGCCTTTCACTCCTCGACGTCTAAATTAGAGTGTGCCTATTTAAGATTATACGGTATCTTGCTTTTCGACAGCCACGAATGTCACACTAGAGGAACTTGATCGATGCAGCCGGCCAGCCTGTGCGTTTTTATCAATGCACAGTACCATAACATGCAAATCGATCAAATTTCGTGGAATACATCATTATTGTAGCGATTGGTTTGCTATTTGATTATATCTTGTGGCCTGACAAACAGATTTGTATATTTCTAGAAATGCATCATTTGTTGTATATTTGTAGTCCTAATTACAAGGGACAGTGAAAAGTTTTGCATATGCACCAGTAAGAGCAAGGGAACAATTTACCAGTCATTTTGGAAATTATTTCGGGGGATATATTTATTCCTGGGGGTATATTTATTTGGGTTTGAAGATTTTTCCGTGGGGTATGTTTATTTGGGACTTGAGAGTGAGTTTCACGTGGAAAAGGTGTTGTATATATGCCACTCTGCGTGTACGCGCAATTCTGACTTGCGCATAGCATACTACCGTAATCATAACCTGTGTGCAAAAAAGACGTTCGCGTGCCAATAAGAGTTAGAACAAAAGAAATGTATGTGTAAATATCAGACTTGTAGCGTGTGGGCTTGCTTGTGGCTATCTTATTATACATGCCAATGAAATAGTATTAAATATGTTGAGAATACAGCAAAAATCACTAGTCTTCACTTCATATTGATTAACATGCACCACCCATTTGATTAAAGATCCTTATTGATGCAATATTATACATAAGCTTTGGTAAGCTTCCAAATATTGTTTCAGTAAATCACAAAATACAACACAGTGTTGCACTCTGCTCATTCTTAATTGTGAAGGTTAATGCATTTTGGCTATATGTAAAATGTATGTGTATCAAATATGATGCACATCCACTCGCGTGATTCGACAGTGTTTCGCAGAAACATTTATCACCGTGCCACTTTTTTTGCCTTAAAAAAAGTATTAACAGTACTAGTTCGAGTGGTCTGTGAATTATTTACAACTGATTTGTTTCAGGCTTGTTGGCGAAACACAACTGTTTTAAGTTAAAATATTACAACTTCGGTCCTATAGCTACCGGGGTGTTATAGCGCGAACAAGCATGCGGGAAAGCTGGCGCAAAATACTTGTAGTTGCAAACGCTGAGAACTTCAAAACACCGGACGCGTGGATGTGTGGTCGTTTGAGACGACGTAGTTGGACTATTCCATTGCTTTTATGGGTATACGAAACATTGCTTTAACACTGAAAATGGATATTAAAAAGCAACAGTAAGTAACAGTTTGTTGATATTTGATGTTGTCATTTTACTTTGTATTAGTAAGAGTGTCAGGTTCTCAGTTTTCCCGTTTAATGGCATGTCCTATTGCCAGTCAATTTTTCCTTGGAATATTTTACTTTGGAATGTTTTACCTCTATACCATCACGATGTACCCTCCGATATCATGTTTTGCAACAACGACATTTTGAATGCATAACAAAATACAGTTAATTCGAAAGTTTTATAATAAGGCTAGCTGAAACCAGCCTACGACGTTAGTGTCGCACAATGCCTTGGCGATTCCATTACATTTTAGATGTATTCCACAGAAATAAACAAGTTTATTATTTTTATAGAACGTTTAAAATAGAATTAATTTATTAAAATATTGAGTATATGCATACATGAAATAATAAAGTGTACGATCACAATGAATAAAATATTTGATAAATTCGGCGAATAGAGGAATGTATATTTATCACAACAACAATAGTATTCTACGACTTCCACGATAAACAAAATCGAATGTAAACACTTTTCAACAATGCAAACGGAATAATAAAATAATAATCATCATCAAATCTATGAAGGGTCAAGTTGCATGAATACAATTATAACGAACAACGCGCTCACTGGATGCACTGGTAGGTGAAGTGACTCCTGGAAACTGAATGTTCTTTGCGTACTATCACTGGGAGAACGCAACACCAGTACGTTGAGCAAATGAATCAATAGCCATCTTCTCTGCATGTTTTTGGTGTGATTGTGGAAGAGATTATTTACTTATTTATTTTTTCCCACGCAGGCCGCTATTTTGCATCTCGCGATTTTTCTCAGATTTTCGGTGTTGGCAAATACATTAGTTATTTATACGGACACAACTTAGAATAAAGAATAAATCAATGTGTTGGGGCAAATAATTTATGTGTATACTCTCGATCCGTTCGTTACAAAGAGTCTGACTTGTACCTTTCAGTTGTTCTCAACTTTTATTGGCACCCATGAACTGGAATAGTTCACATTCAAATTTAAAACTCAACTCAACATCTAGCTATTACACCGGATATTACAACACTTGTATTAACATTTTATTATAATATTTGATAGATGTTATTGGCATTAGAAAGCTACATGCAAGTCCGCATGCAAGTCAAATTAGCACGTAAATATTTTCTTGACTTTCGGTAGACACCTGACTACTATCTTTTTCAATGATTTAAATTTGTCCATGTTTAAATTTGCGTAATTGTTACGAATGCAACGCATTATCATGTCGGTAATATATCAATATTCACAGACCCAATACGTTGAGTTTGCATAATTATTATGAAAGCAATTACAATGTTGAACTATTTAGAGCGGGTACAGTATTGTAAACAAATTTGCGTAAATAGAAAAGCAGCACAATAA